TGTGTGTGTGTGTGTGTGTGTGTGTGTGTGTGTGTGCGCGCGCGCGCGCGCACGCTGGTCCTAGGGCTTGAACTCAGAAACTGAGAGTGGACCCTTAGCATTTTCGCCCAAGCCTACTGCTCTACCACTTGAGCCACAGCTCCAGTTCCAATTTTTTTGGAAGTTCATCAATGAAAAAGAGTCTCAGACTTTCCTGCCTGGGCTAGTTTGAACCTCAATCCTCCAATCTCAGCCTCTTGAGTAACTAGGATTACAGGTGTGAGCCACTGGTGCCCAGCAAGTCTTCTTTTTAAGTAGGTTACGTGCAGCCTTGTGAACGGACAGCCCTTCTTACTAGAATTCTCTTTGCCTACAGCAATTCCAGAGTAATTCCAGTGCTGAGAGTTGTGCTGCAGGAGAATCAGCTCCGTTTCTTGGGGCTGGGGAGTATAGTTCCTACGCCATCCTTCAAGGCAGGTTTTCAGGACCACTGACATTGCTCAAACAGTCTCTTCTAAGGGAGCGGCCCTGGAGCCCTCCCAGGGCCTCACTGATGGAAACCAGTGCCTGCTCTCACCATTTCCCGAAGCAAAACCACCTCAGACCTGGCTCTGTGGTTTGGTGGGCTTCACACTAATGTGGTGAGCACTGCAGAGGATCTGCCAGTAAAACAGAAAATGCCAGTCTTGGCTGCAGGTTTGCCTGCCACCTGCCATCCCAGGGGTGTGAGGGGGTGTCCATGCGAGGAAGGAGACCTCTATTAGGAGGACACTGGCCCCAGATGCTACTAGAGAAGCTCAAGCTTATCCCCAGGCAGTAAGCAGGAGGGGTCTCCAAACGAGTTGGAATTGCTCTTTGGGCTGAAGTTGTGACAGAGTACAATGTGCGTGCCCTTACTGCCTGGCCTACAAAACTGGGGGGCAGCAGAGAGTCTCCCCTCCCAGCACTGTGCCAGGGCCAATACAGCTCATGTTCACAACACACACGAACCAGCAACCAGACACTGCGGCTTGTTTCTCACCATCACTATTAATTTTTAATCTATCCATCTTTTCCACAGAGCACCACCCTTCCCTCGGAGCCGTTTTCACTAGTATCTCGTGTTTTGCTTCACGCTGACTCACTTGCTTTTTACTTAAAAGAATTCTTTCTGAAGGGAACTGTCTGTCACCACGTAGAATGGAAAAACAGAATTGTGCCGCAACTGCAAGGCCAGTGCAGAAATAAACACGACGACGACAACAACGTAAAGCCAACCCTGATGAGGGCCCCCTGCATCTCCAAAGAGGAAATATAGGAGCTCAAGACGCCTCACACATTTTAGTCCTCCAGGCAACACCTCCCAGCTCTCCCACGCTTGAATAAGACCATTTGTGTTGTCACTGTTCTAGGGGTTTGGGATAAAAAGGGAAACCCAGAGAAGAGGAGATGTGGAAATCTGTCACTGCTCATTCTTCTAAGCCACAGTCAAGAGCATCATGGACATGTGGACTTGCCAGCCACTTGTTAATGCGTTCTGGGTTGAACACATCCATCCACAAAAGGGCCAGACTCCTGCTCCTCTGGCCATTAGGTTTAAGTAACCTTCACAAATGTGCTTCTGTCTGAGGCTGAGCGGAGTGATCGCTGGGGAGGCAGGACATGCGCATGAGTATCCACTGAGGGCTATATGTGTCTAATCTCCCAATAAGTTTACCAGGATTATCACTTGAATTTTACAGATGTAGGAACTGGGTTTACCTGAGGCCACAGATTTAAACCGTGAGTCCTTTCTCACCACTCTGTTCTCTGGGGAGAGGATCTTGACAGCTGAGGATATTTCTCCATGGAGTCTCTCCCACTAAGGAAAATGCCAACAAACCCTGGCTTTTCACAGAGCCCGGGGGACCCAGGACAAAATCGCATGAAAATTATTGTAATTCAAAAGGACAGGTAAGGTGGCTCACACCTATAAGCCCAGCCATGAAGGAAGCAGAGATCGAGAAGACTGCAGTTTAAGGTCAGCCCCAGGTAAAACTAGGTGAGACTCCATTTCAACAAATAAACCAGGTATGGTGGTGTGAATCTGTAATCTTGGCTATGCTGGAGCTACAGGTAAGAGGACCAGGGCCTAAGGCTGGCCAAAATAAAAGTAGGAGACCCTACCTGAAATATAGCATGTGTGTACGTATGCGCATGAGTGCGCGCACGCGCACGCGTGCACACACACACACACACACGCGCGCGCGCGAAGCAAGAAAGCAGACCAGAGTCTGCTAAAACTAGCAGTTCCAGAATGCATGGGTGCAACAAGCAACCGACCACAGTAAGAAAGAGAAAGACCACCGTAGAAGTAGGCAGCAGGGAAAGAGACAGCAGAAAGTCAAAGAGAAGAAAAGCTGGGCTTCCCCTAGAGGGGTCAACAGCCTCTGCTTGTCAAGCTGCTGTTGCCCCTTCTTTTAACAAGTGGAGCGTGGCTTAGCACGCTGTTACACACCCAAAGTCCCAGCACCAGAGGCAGAAGCAGGAAGATCCCAACTATTAGGCTAGCCTGAGCTACACGGTGAGACCTTACCTCAACAATCCCCTGAAAGGAAGCACAGCCTGGATCTCATTTGGAGTACCACCTCCCTCCACTGTCAAGCACGTGGCCCCAATCCCAGCTCCAGTGAGGGTCACATGAGCCAGACAGAGAAGCCCATAGCCCAGCTCTAAGGCTCAGGGAAGGACTTGAGACCCATGAGAGAATAGCCAGCCTGGTCTTCACTGGAGCCATCTCATCAGGCTGGCTGCTGGGGGACCATCCATCAGCGCACAGATAGTAAGTCAAGAACAAAAACACATGTCAGCCACAGCTTCCGGATCTGACCGGACCTGACTGCAGAGCCAGCATGACCCACCCCTGGCTTTTCACTGCAAATCCCCACTTTTGCTCCAGCAGCCCAAGCTGAGCTTCTACAAAGGGCACACAAGGAAGTCCTGCCCGATTCCGCCAGCATAACTGACTGACGGCTACCCACAGCTTCCTCTCCAGTGCTGGACAGCTCCCGCCACTGAGAGGTAGAGCTCCAGGGCCTAGCAGACAAATAGGTGTGCCCGGGCCCAGTGAAGACGTGTTCCTGAAGAGTAGGCACTCACCTGATACACGTGGAATGCGTTAGCTGCTTTGCCACGGAGAAACACAGATGGGATCCAGACATTGATCAGCGCCCGGTTGGATCTGCGTGGGAGCAGAGAGCAGGGTTCACTACTTCTACTCACAGGAAAGGATATGGGCAGGACACAAGTCTGTCCCTAGAGACATTCTGCCCAGTGATCTAGATAGCACACAGTCAGATAGGGACAAGCTTAAGTCTTACCACTCAGACTCCTGAGCCTACACTGAGGGCCACTTGGATAGCTTCCCCTCTGTTCTATCCAACCAGTGACCTTGGCCCATGACAAATGTGCTCAAGGACACGGGGGGGGGGGGCGGTTCACGGTGACCCCTCCGTTTCTGGAGCAGTCCACGGAGCGCACTGCCCCTCACTGCCCTGACCTCACCCCCAGAGTCCTGCTTTCACACTAGGAGAGTGGCAGTGGCTTGGGGTGGAGGGACAAATGCCCTCTTTTGACTTTTCCCCAAAAACTATACAAACCAAGAGTTAAATTCAACTATGCAGGTACTATGTGCAAGCCCTGGATTCGATCCCAGCACCACACACAGAGAACGACATTCTGAGTACCTGCAGTATGTGTCCTGGTGCTCTTGCCTGCACTAGCTGATTTGCTCCCACAGGGCCTGAGTAGGGCACAGTCAAGGGTTTTCATGGTGATGTTGTCGTATGGGAAGCCTGGAAACCTGACAAGTCACCAAGCATCCACGCACCCTCACGGGCACACTTCTTCCTTCCTAGACCCAAATCACACACAGCCTAAAGACAGTGCTGTACCTGTTGGCTCCTGCCTTTGCCTCTGCCGACCACCCTTTCCCAGGCTCGATGTGCTGCTCAGTAAGGCTCAAGAGCAGTGGGTCTGACCATGGATGGAAACCTATGAAACCAAATAGACCTTTTCTCTTTAAAGATGATTGCCTGGAGTACTTTGTTACAGTAACAGATAGCTGACTGACACAGGGTATATTCTGTGGTTATGTGGTGCAGTGCTTTGTAAATACATCTGCTGTGCCTGACCGGTTGACAGTCTTGTTTTCCTAGTGATCTTCTATCTAGTTCCTCTACAACCACATGGCCTTGGGCTGATATCATACTGGCCTCTGCTTCCCAGCCCAGGGTCTGTGGGGACACAGGCCAGCAACACAGTCCTAGTCCTAAAGAACCCCTCGTGAGTACACACACAGACTTACATTTCAAAATCTGACAAACTCTGGTCTTCGGATGTTTGGCTCAGATCTCCGGGTACCTATCATTGGGAGAGAGAGGAGAGAAAACACTCAGTGGCTGCCATGGTTTGCATAATGACAGAAGATGTACGCTTCTCATGACCCCCAAATGGTCCCCATTCAGAAAGAGGTGAACAGCAGTCGCTGGAGAACAATGGGAGACTGGGAGGGGGTGGCTGGAGACTCTGTGGCAGTAAGAAGAAGATGTGCTGTGTGCGATCTCAATTATCCTCCCGGAGAAGGGCTGGTAATCCTATTGAGATAATCATAGCCATAGAAGCTTGTGATTTCGGAGCTCTAAAGAACTAATTGGGATCTCAGATGCAAGATATCAGATGTGGGATGGAAAGAGTATCCATTGTCATCATAATGGGCAACACACACAGACACACCTACTAGTGAGCACAAAAGCCAATGTCTCCCCAAATGACCCCATACACCTCCCCCTCCCGGGGTATGTGAGGCAGAGCATGCTGCTCCTGATTTAGGAGGGTCATTGGGTGAGAAGCAAAGTAGGGTCACTCTGGTCCCCCTCCAGTGCTGCCTGGGAGTCCTGACCACGCCCCTTGGAGGTGAGTGTGAAGGCATTGGAAAGCAATGCGTGACCTCCAGGAACCCCCATCCCCCAACCTCGGCTCCCCTGAGAGGAGACCAGGGCTGTGAAAGAATTTGCAATCACAATGTAAAGTGCCCAGTGCTGGCAGATACCCAATAAAGGGCGATGTGATTCTACCCAGGGAATGAGCTTTCTTTTTGATGTGATCAGATCAGAATTGGAGCTGGGCGGCTCATGCCTGCAATCCTAGCTACTCAGCAGGCTGAGATCTGAGAATCCCAGTTAGAAACTAGAGCAGGCAGGGAAGAATGTAAGACTCTTATCTCCAATTAACCACCAAAAAGCCAGACGTGGAGCTGAAGAGCTAGTAGAACACCAGCCCTGAGCAAAAAAAAAGCTAAGAGACAGTACCTAAGCCCTGAGTTCAAACCCTAGTTCCAGGGGGGAAAAAATCACTTCTCTATCTCTCCTATCCCAACTACTTACAGAACAAAAAGATTATAAACAACCTAAAGTTCTAACTACAGACAAATGGTTCAAGTAATTGAGACACGTCTCTGTAACACAATCAAGTTAAAATTTTCAGTGGATTTTACAGGTACGCACGTGTGTGTGCATTTGTACATGTGTGTGTACACATTCTCAAGGGTGTGGGCCTAACACTAATCCTGGAAGGAAATGTAGTTAAGTAGTAAAGGTGGCTATCACAAATAACAGATGGAGAGAGTGGGAAAAGGCGCGTTTTCATTTCCTATTTTTCTGTACGATAAAAACATGATCTTCTGAATTGCTTTGAAAACTGCAAAGGTGCTGTTGAAGAGCAAGCTGGCTTTCTCAGTGCTGTTTTGACACAATCTCTCAGACAGATCAGCAGTGTAAGTGCAGGGTGTGTGCTACCGCGCTGCTGGGGTGCCAGCACAGAGAGCTGAGACCCTGTCATGTGTGTTATGCCTCACAAGGCCACAGCGGTGAACCCCAAGGCTCAGATCCAAGAGCCCAGGGGGTGCAGGCCGGCCCTGGACCCTAGCACCCTGCCACAGGGATGAGGCCACCCATTAAAATTTAAAAAAAAATACTAGATCCCCCAGAGTATGCTGGGTAAAAGGTCTATTTTCTTTAATAAAAATGACTGCAAATGTCCAGTGTGGTCCCTGACAGTAACATACAGCCGCTGGTGTCATGTGGCTAGAATGAACAGAGGAAGAGGACCATGGACTGGTACTCAGAGAAAAGTCGCAGGAGTTTGACTTACCTCCCTTGCACGTTTCTGCACTGAGTAACAACAAACAGATACAACTCTGCGCTGACCTGAGTATGTACCATATTATGAGGTAAAGCAAGTTCTCCTACATCATCTTTCCAACCTGTGTGCTGCCTTAAGACACAGAAACCCAGAGAGACCTTGCTTCAAGCTTACAGAGACACGAAGCGGGAAGAGGATGAGGCTGGGCTCTGGAGCCACGCACCCGACCCAGGACCCCACTCTTCCCATGTGTGTGCACACTGAGTCCACAGCACACAGTCAGGACTCAGGCTCCCTCTGCTCCTCTCCTCTGAGTGGAGACGCTACGCCTGGTTTAGAGATGGTTCTCATGGACGCAGTGTGAGGACCAAGGGCCTGGTCAGGGGCTGTCAGGACAGCACGCCACTTCCTCTATGTCAGCCTCCCTCCTGGCAGGAAGTGAAAAGAGCTTTCTCCAGGGGGCTGCCCCTTGAATCTGCTCTGACCTCATGTACCCCAAAGGGCACAGGTGAGAGCAGGGAAGAGGAGTGAAGGAAGACAGGCAGGCTTTATAAGGACAACATCGCCAGGAGCAAAGAGCTTCTGCAATGAGCCCCCGCTTTCCTGATGGAGAAGCTCCCTTCAGGACTGTGGGGTCACCTGGCTGGTGAATGTAAGTTCCTGAGAGCCATCAGGTCCCAGTGGCTCAAAGACGAGAACCAGGCTGGTCATTAGGCCAGCCCCACCACAGCTGTGTGCTGACCTCTGAGCTGAGCAATCTGACAGGGTAACAGAACCCACAAAGGGAGCCTAAGGCCATGTGGTTAGTAAGTAACACAGGCCCAGAGTCCAGAGATGTTCCTTCTCAATGCAGAGTCCTGTGTTCGCCCTGGGGAGGCCCAGACAAGGGGGTAACCCAAGCTCATATCTACAACCTTAGGTGGTGGAGCATCTCTGAAGGGGGAGCACTTTCCGGAGGACTCTCACTCTAGGAGGCACCTTCCCTGGCCACGTAGCTAAACAGACCCCCAGCCGTACCCACCCTCCACAGACACGTCCTGGTCTGAAACCATACCACAATGCGTGTCTGTGATGCGCCCCCTATCTGCAGGCCTGGAGAACGGCAGTGCCTCTCCCCATTCACATGGCACCCAGCAGCCGTGTCTAGCACTTGCCACCTTGTAAGTACTGATTAAATGAATGAATCATAATGTAAGCTATCTTTCCACACCGAACTGTCCATCAATTTTTAAACTGCTTTGTAGCAAATTCAAAATCCTCAGGCGTGGCGAGATTAGTTTGGAGATAAAAAGAACCAAAGAAACCCAATCTTATTTTCTCTCATCTAATTATAGGGCTCCCAGATTCACTGCGCAAAGGAAAAAAAAAGGCAGAAAGGAGACAGGACGGGGGCAGCAAACTTAGTCCCAGCCCTGGCACAGCTCCCAGGCCTGCATTTGCCAGAGTTACTCTCATCATCCATTTCCAAACAGCCTTCCTCAAGCACTCGGTGCTCACTGCCCAACATGACCACATTCTCCACCTCACCAATACTCGGCCATTCGGTTCTTCCTCTTTATTTTATTTTGACAGTGCTGGGGACTGAACTCAGGCTTGCTAGGCAGGTACTTTCCCATTTGAGCCATGCCCCCAAGTTCCTTTTAGAGTTGCACCATTGCACTACGCCATTCATTAAGACTTCCTGAACTTTTCTGCCTAGGCTGGCCTGGAACCTTCTTGGTCCCCAGATCTCTACCTCTCAAGTGGCTAGGATTACAGATGAGAGCCACTGTGTGCAGCTGCCCTCATTTTTTATTGTGAAGTAAGGTGTGAAGGGACACAGATCTTTCTCCCACCCAGCTGGGGTGGCTAAGCCAAAGGAGGGACCCGAGTCCCTGCTGATCTGATCGAGATGTCGGCCTGCACTGTCCTCACCACCGGGGGGCACCAGACAGGGTCTGGACCACATCCAGGGTTCCGTGCTTGTCACTGTTAATTTGTTTGCTTTACAAATATCCAATTAGAGGCTCCAGATCCAAGTGGTTTTAAAAACAATCAAGGTCAAGGACTCATTGCTGAGAGTAAACAATTGGCAGATAAGAGCTTTAAAGAGTTCCACGTTACCCAGAGTGCAGCCAAAATCTGGGACAATTATCAGACTTCTGTATTTTCCCTAAAGACTGTGAGGACCTCAGGGGCAGTATTTTCAGAGCACACAACAAGATCAGGCACACCTGATTGCTCAGCAATGCTCCCAGAGGATGGATGGATGAACAGACATCCAAACAAGAGAAATGGATGAATATCCAGGCTAAAGGAAGTAAGGCAAGGGAATGAGGAATGTAAGAAAATGACCTCATTTAGTAAGAATGGATGCTTACTTTCTTTCCAAGCAATGCAGTTACTTGGATAACATATGTACAAAGATAAATCCATAGGGCCATTTGTTGCAGCACCAGTTTCTGAAGTGCAAGCTAGATACATACAAGTGAGAAACAGTTACATAAAACAGGCAGGCAGAGTCAGGCTGTTTAGCCTCTCTGCCCACAGGGAATGTCCAAAGCAAGACAGAAAACAATATGGTAGAGAAGCTAGTGTTTTCAGGAAAAACTCAGGAGATACTTTATCTGTGGGTTTAGGCAGAATATATGTGTCCATGTGGATGGACCATTTTTAGAAACTGAGACCAGACATGGTAAGCAGAAGACCAGGGACTGCTAAACACCCAAGAGCAACTGCCAGTCTCTCTGCCCATCCCCTCTCAGTGGGCATATTTTAAGTCTTACTTATAAGAAAATTACCAGTGAAAGATGGGAGGATTTTTTTTTAATGCCTGTGTGGACACCAAGATCTGTAATACCACCATAATGAGTACCCTGCTATCCTCAGAGAAAGATCTAGAAGGCTAAGCACTAGAGATCCTTGAGGAGATGGGGAATGGAAGGAAGGGTAGGTAAGTGGTGGCCAGAGGCTCCTATTGGGAATGCGTTTCTGTATTAATTGTATCTTGAACTTGTTTTAATAGCAGCAGCTATGGTGGGGTGAAGTGGATGGCACCCCCCACGAGGGTGTGTCCTCGGAACTTACCAGTGGGACCCTGTGTGGAAAGGCAGATAGCAACAACCCTGCCAGGGGGAAACTGGCCTAATTTTAAACTGCTTTTTATCAGTAAGTAATAAGTGACTAAGTTCTGCTCAATAAAGATGTCAGGCGTCACTGGGCACAGGTGGCTTCGTGCCTAT